GAAGGCGGCGCGGCCCTGAGGCGCGGGGTGCCTGCCGGGCGTTCGTTGCCCGGGCCCCTGTGGTCTGGCTTGGCTTGGGGTTGGGGGGTGGTTGGCGGGTTTCCGGGATCGAAGGCTGCGGGCGCGTTGTTCGCTTTTTCGCTACCCCATCCGTCTTTTGGTGGTTCGTTTCTTCCGCTGGAGCCATGGAGTCATGTATCGTTTTGAAGCTTATCTAAGCAAAAAAGAGGAAGATTAATTGTTTTCTTACTTTCCATTACTAGCAGGTTAGGCATCTAGCGTATTAGGAGAAAGTTGACAAAATGGCCCGCCCTTATGAAAGAATGCTTCAGCCCTTAAACCTTGGTTTTACCACCTTGCGAAATCGTGTAGTTATGGGGAGTATGCATACTGGTTTGGAGCATGTAAAGGCCGATAGAATTGAAAGAATGAGCGATTTTTATGGTGAAAGAGCAAAAGGTGGATGTGGCTTAATCATAACGGGTGGATTCTCTCCAAATATTGAGGGAAATATTACTCCTTTGGCACCTCGTATATCATCGAGAGCCCAAGCCCTTGAATACAAAGCGGTTACAGATGCAGTTCACACTGAGGGAGGAAAGATTGTGATGCAATTGCTGCACTCTGGTCGCTACGCAAACAATCCACTCTGTGTTGCCCCCTCCTCGGTGGCAAGTCCAATATGGCCATTTAAGAAGTACCACTTGCGTCCGATTGCTTTGCCTCGGCTGTGGATAAAAAAGACCATCAACGATTTTGCAAAGGCAGCGGCACTTGCCAGAGAAGCTGGATTTGACGGAGTTGAGATAATGGCCTCCGAGGGTTACTTGCTCAATCAGTTTATCGCAAAGCACACCAACAAGAGGACGGACGAGTATGGGGGGTCGTACGAAAATCGCATACGATTTCCTGTTGAGGTTTTGCGTGCTGTTCGAAAAGCTGTTGGAAATGATTTTATTGTCATTTTCCGTATTTCAATGTTAGATCTTATTCCAAATGGCTCGAAAAAAGAAGAGGTATGGATGCTTGCTGAAATAGTTGCCAAATCTGGTGCTAATATTATCAATAGTGGCATTGGTTGGCATGAAGCACGAGTTCCAACAATTGCCACCTCTGTTCCTCGTGCTGGTTTCACCTGGGCTACTGCTGATTGTCGAAAACACCTGCGAAGTAAAGGTATTTCAATTCCTTTTATAGCTGTAAACCGTGTGAACCATCCGGATGTAGTTGAACAGGTTTTGCGAGAAGATGCCGATCTTGTGGCGATGGCACGCCCTTTTTTATGCGATCCTGACTTTGTCAAAAAAGCATCAGAAGGAAATGTTAATACCATCAATATTTGCATTGGATGTAATCAGGCTTGCTTGGATCATATTTTTAAAGGAAAGGTTTCGTCATGTCTTCTCAATCCGAGGGCTTGTCATGAAAAAGAGCGTGCTGTTCGTCCTGCTTTGAGGAAGAAGCGTATTGCTATCGTAGGTGGTGGACCGAGTGGTGCATCGTGCGCCCTCACCTTGGCTCAACGAGGTCACGCCGTAACACTTTTTGAAAGGGAAAAATTTTTAGGTGGACAATTCAATTTGGCAAAAAAGATTCCTGGGAAAGCCGAATATGAGAGCAGCATTCTGTATTGGACGAATTCTCTAACCTCTTTTAAAAACTTGACACTTCACCTTGAAACAACTGTTGATGATAAAATATTGAGAGATGGGTGTTATGACGAGATTATTATTGCAACTGGTTGTCTTCCCAGATCAATCACGAACGAGGTAATTCCAGGTGTTGAGGGTCTTCCAAATGTGTTTTCGTACGTGGATGTTTTGTCTGGGAAAGCTAAGGTTGGTGAGAGAGTTGCAATTATTGGTGGTGGCGGTATTGGGTTTGATGTCGCGTATTATCTAGTAGAGGAAAACGCTGGACCCGCACACAAAACGTATTGTAAAGAAGATCCACGAGATTTTGCCAATCAATGGGGTATAGATATTGACTTCACTTCCCCTGGCGGTTTAAAAAAGCCGATCATTGGCAAAACAAAACGCAAAGTTACGATGTTCCAGCGGAGTGAAGGCAAAATGGGGAGTCATCTTGGGGCCACAACGGGTTGGATTCATCGCCTTGAGCTTCGTGCTCATGATGTTAAGCAAATAAGTGGCGTTAAGTATGACGCGTTTGATGGAAAATCGCTTTTTTATACAACAAATAATAAACGTGAGAAGCTGGATGTTGATGCGGTTGTTTTTTGTCATGGTCAGAGGTCGGATCAAAGGCTCCTTGAAGGAATAAAAGATTTACGTTATTACTTGATTGGCGGTTGTCATAATGCTGCGGAATTAGACGCCAAGAGAGCTATATTGCAGGGTCACGAATTAGCAGTGAAACTCTAACAAAGCTGTATTATGCGCATGTTTTTTTCAAATTTATTTATCCTTTTTTTTTTTTTTT